TACTACTACTACTACTACTACTACTACTACTACTACTACTACTACTACTACTACTACTACTACTACTACTACTACTACTACTACTACTACAACAACAACTAATAATGATAATATAATTATTATAATAATATAATAATCAATCCTTTATTTACCAAGGGTAGCACTAATTAAATAACACAACATTGTGCTAATAAGCCAGTGGCCCTCTTCGTAATGTCTTATTGCTTCTTTAAATATCTTTTTTTTCTATTTTCAGGAATTCTCATGATTCTGGCTGGTTCTTTTGAATTTGAAAAAGGCCACAACGCTGAGGTACAAGAACGGGAAACTGATAACATTGAGATACCACAGGTATGTAATATAGTACAACCCCCAGCATGGGGGCGTCAGTACAACCCCATCATGGGGGCGTCAGTACAATCCCAACATGGAGGCGTCAGTACGACCCCAACATGGAGGCGTCAGTACAACCCCAACATGGAGGCGTCAGTACAACCCCAACATGGGGGCCTCAGTACAAACCTAACATGGGGGCATCAGTATAACCCCAACATTGGGTGTCAGTACAGCCCCGACATGGGGGCTAGTGCGGGTTCCTCTAAGCTCTATTTGGCTATCACAGTTATCATCCTAGTTTTATGAGAGAAGCAATTTATTAATAGCCTTTGGCTACCAAACCTGTGACCCTCATTCCAAAATTAAAATTGGAAAATGATTTTTGTGGAGGGAGGAAAAAATGGAGAACCCAAAGACTGGTAACTCTCGAAGCACAGAAGAGAACCAACAAGCAATTCTACTCATATATGATTGCTGTCCTTGGTTCAAGCTCATCACTGCAGTGAAAGGCAATATCATCACCTTCCCAGAAAATGACCAATTTTGTAGAGAACCCCCTGGATTTTGAAAACTTGAATATAGAATCTAAATCCCAAGAGGATTAAAAAAAAAACATTTTGATTTGTCTGTTTGACTGACAGGTGATGCGAGAACTTCCTAATCTTGGCGACAAGAATAAAGAACCTCCATTGTGCTACCCATATAGTATCAAGGCAAGATCACTGATTCATGCCCACCTGTCCAGAATTGACCTGCCGCCAGACACTCTGAAGCAAGACCTGGACTTGCTCTTGAAGAAGAGTCCTCTGTTGGTACAAGAAATGATTAGCATTGTGGCTCAGTTAATGGCCATGGCAAAGGCTGGCAGAAGTAAGTATACTACATGTATAGTTCTGGGAGAGAAATACTGCGCTTCTTAGTTGGTCATGTCGATGTAGTGGTAATAATAACAACAAAAACAACAACAATAACAACAATAATAATAATCATCATCATTATCATCATGATGACAACCATGACAATGACAATGACCACGACAATGACCATGAGGACTATAACTACTACCATGATGATGACCATGACCATGACCACGACCAGCAAATAGTTATTACATTTACCAACTATGTAATGTGTTCATATTTGTAACCATTAATTCCAAATTAAGAAAAATCATAACAAGTTTTCATCAACCCTTTGACAATTATCCTTCTTTTTGTTCAGCGACCAACATGCCACGCCTAGAGACAGTAGAAAACTGTATGAAGATAAGTCAGATGCTTGTGCAAGGACTGTGGGAGAATAAGTCTCCTCTCTTGCAGCTGCCGCACATCAATCAGGATAACTTAAGACATTTTACAACCAAAAAGGTAAGAATAGCTTTCCAGGTGATCTTATTTTGACAGCTCATCAAAAACCAGCCAATCATCRCACAGGGAAAAATCCGTTGTACTGTCGTGTACGGGAATTGTCAGGGGAATTCTATTCAAATTCAAATTTCAAGTAATCGGCTAGTAATCGTACCCTACGATAACATCAATTAAACTATAATAAATATTTATGTGCACGCGCTGATGATACATCGTTTAAATATGACTTAAAAATGAGACCACCCAACCGAATTCACTTCTTGTTCTAGGGGTTAGGTTTAGGGTTAGGGTTAGGGTTGGCATTGTAGTAGTTCTTTGGTGCCGAAGGTACCGAGTTTGGTTCTTGGTGTCTTCACTTAATTTTTTTTCTAAGTGAGGAGAACCAAAATTTCTAAGTCCCACTCRTGTGTTCGGAAACCTATGACGTACTCTGTTAATCCGTACACGACGATAGTACCAAAAAATCTTAGCAGGCGGTCCATTGAATCTATTTAGCCTATAAGTAATATATACAGTATGAGTGGCTGATGGGTAGCCAAGAGTTGATATAACTAAGCAGACACGAATATTGTACAATGCTTATCAAACGTCTGGGTCAGTTCCTTTGTGTTTCACTAAAATTTTCAAAATAAAAGTGAATCTTGCCAAGAAAATCCAAGTTAAAGTTTATGCAATTGAACATGATTCTGTATCAGAATTATAAAACTCTTCACGGTCATGATTTCTATCGTGTTTTCCTCATGAATTATTAATGAGTTTGTTAATACTGAAAAAACATGGCGGGCACAGTCATAGAAAATACAGTAACTCTGAATCGTTGCTTTCCTAGCTACGTTATGGACTAGCAATGGATTTAAAATTCTAGCTATACTAAGTTATAACGACTACCTAAGGGTCAAATGGTTTGTTGTGTTTTTAATATTTATTTTATAAAATGAAACCTGTTTATTTTCTGATAAACAACTGAAACAAGGACTGCTTGATCAGCTACAATGATCATCTGCACTTGTTCCCCGAGATCGCCTGTTTAGACATATACATTGTGTCAAACAAATCACTTATTTCTTGTATAGGTCATGAGAGACCTTCATTTGGACTCTCCTCTGGGATATTTTGATTTTGACCCC